ATGTTATTTGCTGTAGTTTTGTTTACTTTTGTGCCAATATTAATATTGTGAGCCATGTTTACTTTTGTAAAATGCCTCAGGTGGGAGGATGTCACAGCCATTTGATAATTATTTTGTTTGTATACCGCTTTAAATGCTGAAGTTAAAAATCTCTTATTAAAATTCAAAGAAAGCTTTAGCTATAAAACCTTTTTAAATCATAACAATCTTTCCACTTGTCGGCAATAATTTTTTTATATTTTATCGCCATCACTTCAATTTATTTTCTTTATTTTAACGCGTAAGTGGTGTAATAAAAATTGATGAGGTTCTCACAGTTGACTAAGACTCTGAGGGCTGAACGGTCGATGTTTCCGTGGCGTAAGATTTTTTAATTTTGTCTATGTATAGAATGATGCTTATAAGTGATAATTTTTGTTACATCATTTTTTAAAAGCACGCGATATGTTTTGTTGGGAACTGGCAAATATAGATTTTCAATAATTTTTGAAGTTTAATTTTGCAATATACGAACCGTGTATTTTATACGCAAATTCGGGTAGAATTGCGTTGGTACACACTTGACATGCAGTAAAGTCCATGAAAAATAATAAAGCTGCTGGTCCAGATGAAATACCAAGTGAATTGCTAAAATTAGTCAATGAAAAAAACATAGATCTTTTAGTCCAACTACTGAACACAATCTATTCCACAGTAATCATTCCACGTGGACTGCTGACATCAAAATTTATTTGACTACCAAAGAAAGTAAATGCCAAAGAATGTAATGATTATCGAACGATCAGTCTAATGTCAAATAACTTAAAAACCCTGCTAAAAATCATCCATAATAGAATACACGCTAAGCTGGAGATGGATATTAGTGATTCCCAGTTTGGATTTCGGAATAGAGTGGAGTGGAAAATTTCCAGTATAATGATCATTACATTTTTCTGATCATTATACCATGTTGACGCCTATGAAAGATGGAGCAGTTCCGTATGGGTTTCGTATTAGTAGCTGTGCTAGAAAAATTTGAACTCTAAGGTTGATGTTCTGGAAATTTTAAATACAAGTGACGTCACTTTGTATAAATCGTGACGTGCAAGTGTTTTACTTTGAAAAATAGTATGCTTGGGAAAGATAGGCACAGAAAATAACGATCATACTGCAGAAATAAGAGCCAGAATTTAAAAAGCACGTGCTAAGTTCGTGAAAATGAAAAAGGTTTTATGCAACAAAGTTCTGATATTGGCCCTCAGAATAAGGCTAATTAAATGCTATGTACATAGTGTACTCTATGGAGCTGAATCATGGACATTAAACCGGAAAACAATAAATCGACTAAACGCGTTTGAAATGTGAACATTTAGAAGATTGTTAAGGATTCCATGGGTAGATAGGGTCACGAATACAGAAGTGTTAAAGAGAATAGGCAAAGAGAGGGAAATGGAAAATATAATAAAAGAAAGGAAATTGCAATATCTCAGACATGTGATGAGAGGTAAAAGATACAACACTCATAATTCAAGGAAAAATAGAGTGTAGGAGAAGCATAGGAAGAAGACGCCTTTCCTAGTTGAAGAACCTGAGAGAGTGATTTGGTTGCAGCTCAAGGCAATTGATCAGAGCAGCTGACTCGAAGGTCAGAATAGCCATGATGATCGCCAACCTTGGTCGCGGCCATGGCACTGAAAGAAGAAGATACAAGGATCTGGCCATATTTTGCATACACAACTCCATTTGTTGCCTATTATATGACGCGAAAATCTAAATACTATCAGGAAGAGTTTTGAATAACAGTTACGCCGTAGTTTAGACGTAAACAATACTTGTGAATGCATTATAATGACAGAAATATTCACATGTTCGTAGAAATATCAATAAAAGCCAAGCTTCGCGTCATCTTCCCGAACGTAACACTTCAACGCGTCTAACCACTCAAAATATTAACGGCTTCATTCATTTTCTTAAAAAATAAACGTCCTGTTTTGCAAAACATCGTTAAAAGAAATAATTGAGGCAAATATTAACGTGCAGATGAGTTACAAGCTAAAAGCCCAGTTGATTATTTATAGAATCGTTTGGCATAGGATATAGAGTGCCTTGACGATAGTTTGGAGCAAGTGAATGTCGTGCGGTGTGTGGACACATTCTTTTTTGTTTTTAATAGTCGATTTGGTGGCTGCGGCTGTGATAAAAAATGTGCTCGTAACTTTTCTCTCGAAGGGTGAATATGCGTTAGTGTACTTATAATATTGTGCTGTGATCTGTGTGCAGTCAATCAAGTCTTCTAAATAATATAGATACATGTAGAAACTTATCATATGATTATATATTATTACTTTTATTTTATAAAAAGAACATATTTTAGTATTATTTGGTATTAGAATGCAAGAGTCTGGTGCATACTTCATTTGGATACTCTATTCTTATACATAACACAATTTCTGGTATTTTTGTATTTATATTTTTCAATATTTTCATTATTTTACTGTCAATGTTTCTTCAGTGCAATATATTCCAGAAATTATTTCTTGAAACTTCTGCTACGTATCACTATGTCTAGATCTAGATCTTAAGTTATCCAACTACCGAGATATCTGAACTTGGGGACCTTTTGGATGTTCTTATTGTTTACTTTTATGTTTAATTGCATATTTCGTGTTCTACTAACCACCATTACCTTCGTCTTGTTTACATTAATCTTCAAGCCCAGTCGTTCTCTTTCAGTGTTTATTCTATCTATTAGGCGTTGTAGCGCTTCTTGGCTATCAGCTATTATGACTGTATCATCAACATAGCGAATATTACTAATAGTCTGTCCGTTGATTTTGATTCCGTCCGTTGATTTGATCTTCAGTGTCACTTAAGGCTCTATCGAAAATCGTTTCAGAGTAAAGATTAAAAAGGAGGGGTGACAAAACACAACCTTGTCGTACACATTTTTCGATTGAGAAATATGATGTACATTCCAGTCCTACTCTCACAGATGCCACTTGAATCATATAAAGATTCTTTATGATTTTAAGGTCATTCTCATCTATCGAACGTTCCTGGAGCAATCTTACTAATTCTGAATGAATAACACATTCTGGTAATCTGTAAAGTATAGAAAGACATCTTTTTGTTGATCTCTGCATTTCTAAAGTAGGACAGTTAAGCTATAAAGTGCTTCTCTTGTGCCAAATCCTTATCTGAAACGGAACTGTGTGGGGTTAATGAAAATACCCATTCAGTCATAATAATTTTATTTTAGTTTAAGCTTATTTTGATGAACAAATTAAATAAATACTAACATTGTAGCTTCTCATTTAATTAATAAATATTTAACAACCAGTTCTTATAGTAAGTGTTTAAAATCTGCTCCATCTACTTCCTGACAGTAGTGCATCCTATTTCTAAACTCTTGCCTTACACGTTCAAATGTGTCGGGGGAAATTTCCCTACATTCTTTAACAATTCGTTGTTTTAAAATATCAATATTGTATATAGAAAAAAATCTAATGCTGTAAGTTCGATGGTCGAGCTAGCCACTCTATCGTACTTCTTCGTCCAATCCATCTACCATGATATTCCTCATCTAGATTACATCTTACTGCAAGATAATGGTGTGCAGGAACACTATCATGTTGAAACGTTATTTCCAAGTTGCCGAATTCATCTGGATTATCCTCCAGAATTTCAAATATTAACGGTTCAATTACATTTTGTAAAATCTCCAGATACATTTCACCGATTAAGTAAGTATTAAGAAAAACAGGCCCAATTATGTGGTTTCCCAAAATACCTGCCCAAACATTTATTGTTTTTTGGAAATTGAGTATGTTTCACGAAAGACGTAAGGATTTGTGTCACTCCAATACCTCACATTATGTATGTTAACATTTCCATTGAGAGAAAAAGTACTTTCGTTACTGAAACAAAATGTTTTTATGTAATTAGGCTGTTGGTTAATATTATTAGACATATTTTCAGAGAATTCTAGTCTTCGGTCGGGGTCATCATCTGAAAGTTGATGCACAATTTTTAATTTGTATGGATGAAATTTGTTTTTAGCTAATACTTGGTGTACTGTCTTTTAACTGATTGCATAGATAGATGCAACTTAGGCTGTAGAAGAAGTAGCGTTCACTACAATTTCTGAAGTTATGTAATTTTTTTTTGTCATCACTAATTGTTCTATATTTCTGTTTGTTTAAACTTTAGAAGAAGCTTCCTCAAATCAGCTCTCGATGTAGGACGATTCCCTTTCACCCTTTCACAGGACCTTTCACTAAACTAAGCAGAAACAGAAACTAAATATTCAGGTATTAACGTGCTTAACGTATTTAAAGATCATATTTAATCACTAGAGAATTGACTAAACTACTTAAGCAGAAACAGAAACTAAATATTTAGCTCTAAACGCTTTTGCAAACTAAAAACAACTAGAGAATTGACAAACGTCAATTATTTTGACAAATAACCAATCGCGGAAGTTAGAATTTTTATTAATTAAAAGCAAAACAAAATTAGTATGATTGAATAGGTATATTAAAATAATTGTAGTGTCACATATAATTAATAAATATTCTAACGCTCGGCTCTGGTTAACTGTCAAAAAATTTGACGTTGACGCAAAAACAATTAGAGAATTGAAAAACGTCAACTTTTTGACAAGTAATTAGAGGCGGAGATTTTAATATTTATGAATTAAATGCGAAACTACAATTTTAGTATTTATTTAATTTATTCATTAAAATGAGCTTGAACTCAAATAAAATTAGTATGGTTGAGTGAGTTTTTTCAATACCTTTTAAAAGAGCATTCAGACACAAGCCTCCTACACTGATCAAGAACCGCAATGCATTGTTTTTTTCCTTTTATTCATGATTTTTGTACGTCTACAAAAAACACAAACATTTTACTAATATACATATTTTTTGGTCCTAATTTTTCAAGGACTTAAAATATTATAACATTTCCAATACTATAATACGCAATTAATAGTGCAGTGAAAGTGCAGTTATTTAAGTACAATGTTAGGAAGAAAGAAACACCGACATCCTGGTCATACTAAACCAAAGAAGAAGAATTACATTCCATTTAGCAGAAACAGAAGGGTAAATATTAGTTTCGTTATATCAGCATTGTGTGAATAAGTCAGTGTTTATACATTTGTCACTACTCTCTTTAATAATCACCTTCTGTTTAATTTTGACGAATTTCTCATGTTATATTGATATTCCGAAAATCGTCTTTCATTATTCTCATTAATTCTTTTTTAAACTCACGACATAAAATTCTACAAATTGTATGTTTTGAAGGTGAAGACCAAGGTTTGAAGTGAAATCGATTGCTCAGGATTCTCCTGCATATACTCGGTTCGCTATTCCCAATCCGAACTGTCTAGTGAATTTAGTAAATATTTTTTTGCAAAGTTAGTTACTTTTGACAGACTAAAAGTGGCGGGAAATTACTGTACAACCAAAAACACGTACTCATAACCAATATTAATAGTAAACAAACTAAATAGTAAATAAAATAGACCTTTGCGATTTACCGACAATCAATATTTATTTATCTGCACCATATAATAAATAGTTATGTTAAATTATAACAACTAAAATATATTTTATATATGTAAATGTATAAAAAACTACCCAAAATTTGATGGGTTTAGTATACACTTCCACTATTTAGAATAATTCTTTTTTTTTCAAAGAAAGAAGTCTGCAGTAGTAGTATACTTGAGCTATTAATACTGAGAAGTAGGAATTGTTGTGTTGTAGGTTTCCGACAATGAATCTGTCAAAATATGCCCGAGCTAAGCGAATGGAGTATACTCTCATTTGTCTTTTTGCTCGATGCTCATAGGCCGTGGCGATGTTTTGGCAGATCTTGCGTTTTGTCAACGTACAAGAGTTGGTTAATTGTTTACTGAACCACTGGACTCACATTTATCTATTATACTGCAAATAGTTCACTCGGTAGGACAACCAAAGTGACCGTAATTTTATCGAATTTTATCATTTGCACGAATTATTGTACACTATATCCATCCACAGTAATTTAGCAAAACAAACTGAATTAACGACGGCCAATTTGACAGACGAAGCTTTATATAATGTGTACGGTACCAACTGTCAATGTTGGGAAGACCCGTATATATATATACATATATATATATATATATATATATATATATATATATATATATATATATATATATATATATATATATATATATATTAGAACTTAAAAATTTTAGTATTGATTGAACTTGTTTTCTATTATACGTCCTTCTTTTATATTTGTGACTTTTTAGGCTCTTAGTCTCTTGAGAAATGCGCCAGTTCTATGCAATTTCGGAGCTACAAGTCTTAAAAATTCGATTTTGTAGTAAACTTTTATGGCAGTTTCCAATATAATGTTTGTTACGAGACTGTAAACACAATGACATACTAGAAACATTAACTTTTTATTAGTCGATAAAACCAGATAATGTTCCGCTATATGTAGAAACGAAAACAAATATCAAAATATATAGGTATACGCTAATTAAATCAATCATTATGTATTTTATTGTATATAAGTAGAAGAGAATTAGTAACTATCCAGTTAAGTTATAAATGACTTTTTACTCAAATTTCAAAAACTCTTATTGGAAATAATTACATTATAAACAAACAATTAAAAAACATAGGATAATCTGTACTCTGGATGAATACACTAGTCTGGAGTAACATTCTATGAATAATCAATAGACAAAATTCTTTCAATAGAAAAGAATATAATGAAAAATATCATGGGTAAAATTCAGACGTTAACTTAAACATCTGTCTTGTGTGCTACAGGAGTTTAAGTAGTTCTTTTCTATTTAGTAGAGGAGATGTTCTAACATGGCCCCCCATTTTGTTTTTTCAAATATTTTTTGTCAATCCGTTGTGCATCTTGGCCAAAAAGAAATCATCACTCCTGTCGATTCCTGGCAGATTCCTGGCGATTTCCACCATCCTCTGACCCTTAGAACATCCTCATGTCATCTCCTTTGTGGTCGACCTCTGCTTCTTGTGCCCTCTGGTTTGAAAATGTTAATCTCTTCGTGTATTCGTAATCTGACATCCGAGAAATGTATCCAGCCCATCTAAGTCTCTGCATTTTAACGAATTTCACAATATCTGTATCGGTGTATAACTGGTATAGCAAAGTTGTATCTTTGACGCCATAGCCCATTTTCATTTAAGGCCCCAAAAAATCTTTCTAAGAATTTTTCTTTCAAAAATACCAAGAATACTTTTATCATTTTGAGATAAGATTCACGTTTCAGCTCCATATATCTAAACCGGTCTTATTAAGGTCTTAATGGAGCTTTACTGCACGTTTTATATTTTTACGTTTTAAAAGTTTCTGGAGACCGTGAACAGTTCTGTTTGCTATTGCTATGCGTCTTTTTATTTCGTTGCTTATCGTGTTTGTTAATTTGAAATTTCTGTTGGATATTTTAGGGGTTTTTATAAACTAACATATATTTCAAAAATTGTATTAAAAATCCTTTATAAAAGGTATAGAATTTAAAAACCCAATCGGGCTATATAACAAAACGTTTTCGGAATCCATATTCCATCATCAGTATCCTAAAAATAATATAACCTTCTTCTTCTTAACGTGCCCTATCAAGTCCCCTTGACGTTGGCGATTAACATGGCGAAACTGTCTCTGTCTCGAGCTATTCTAAATAGTTGCTCAGTTTTCTTTATTCCTGTCCACTCCCTGATATTCTTCAACCAAGAGGCCTGCTTTTTACCAATTCCTCTGCGTCCTTCGATTTTACCCATCATAATAAGTTGAAGAATATTATATCTGTCTCCCTGTCTGACACCTCTTTGTATTTTACATATTTCTGTTGATTTTCCGTTTATGCAAGCTGTCGCTGTTTGACGCCAGTATAACTTTTCTATGAATCGTATGTCTTGACTATCAACTCCTTTATCCTTTAATATTGTAATTAATTTGTGATGCTGTACTCGATCAAAGCCTTTTCATAGTCAATAAATACAGCAAATACGTCTTTCCTTTGATCTCGACATTTCTGCAGTAATACATTTAGTGCAAAGAGGGCGTCCCGAGTTCCCAGTCCATTTCTGAAGCCAAATTGTGTTTCATCCTGATCTTCTTCACATTTATCTCTGATTCTACTGTGGATGATGCGTAGAAATATTTTCAAAGTGTGGCTCATAAGGCTTATCATTCTATAATCGCTACAGTTTTTCGGACGTTGTTTTTTTGGTAGTGTTATGAATTCGGACTTTAATCAATCTTCAGAATATAACCACTTAATTAAAAAGAACGTGAAATTTAAATTTTGACCAACGTTATTACAAAATGTGGTTAATACTTACTAGGTGTACATGTATTGAGCCACTAAATATCTGGGTAAAAATCCGTTAAAAATTGTCTGTTTAAATTTAGTTTACATTATATGGTATTAAATGGATACGTTTTTCCTTTCTTCTAAGACGTCTATACTCTTCTTTTTTTTCCATGTACAACATGCGTCGAAGGTTTTTTAATATGCTACGTTCTTTCTATTTGTGGCCATATCGCACTCATGATCAAACCAATGAATTCTTTTTTCTGACTTGGTTTTGCTCTATCATGATAATTATGTAAAATTGTACGTATACTTCAATTAAATTTTTTTTATTAATACTTAAACAGTTATTTATTTAAAAATAGCTTTAGAAAAAACAAATATTAAACAATTAAAAATTGTTTCGGATATTTTTGATGTCTTCTGGACTTTTCTTTTGTCGGAAATGTTGAACCCCCATCTCCTGATGCTCTATTTTTTACACTATCAATTTTTTTGCTTGGAGTTTTATCGAGAAGATCTTGTAAGTCAGTATTGTAGGGAAAAGAGCATAATATGCAGCTTCCATTGCTAAAATAAAGCGAACCAACGGTACTTTGATTTCTTTTAGTAATACTGTTTTTCTTACAAATGGAGTTAAAATTAGTTACTATACATTTGAACTTTTAGTCTTCTGAATTTTCAACAATCTTTGTAAAGACCATCTTGGTACCTTGAAACTTTAGCAAGCAGTTCTCAAACATATTACTTTATTGCTAACAACTTCCATGGCTTTTTGCATGTCTTCAACTTTCCATTTCTTTATGTTTTTCTCTGATGCTTGAGATTGCTTCGGGACATGGCTGATCCGAAATAAAAAATATCCGTTTGCTTCTGTTCGAAATATGGCACATATTTTTATTCTATAGAGACCAATATTAGCTACATTACACGTAACGACATGCATATAGTATGCTAAAATACAATTACAACTTACCCTGAATAAATATCACAAAGCTTCGCGTTCTTAACTTTAACCTATATTAAATGATGTTAATTGTGCAACCTATGTGCAATTATTGATAAGAGTGCATATTAACCACAGGATTCATATTTAGACCATTTCTACAATGTTCTGAATGTTAAGATGTCTTAAGTCTGAGCAGCAGAATTGGCGGCTTTATGTTGGTCTAAATTAACAGCAATATCGATGACATAATTAATAAATATGACTGGGAATATATATAGGAAACAATGTAGGGGACACAGAAAATTGAAGATATTGGACGGATATCTAAAAAAGAGTACTTATCATAACGAAAATGAAATTCCTGTAGTTGGCTGTATACGATTATATTATTGGCTGTATACCAGGTAATTTAATTATTAAATTAGCGTTTTGCATTTTTTGCATTGTATGTGAAAGACCAGTTACATTTTCCTACTACTCTTTATATACTTTTTACTTTATGTGCCCTAGGGTGGGGGGGGGTTAACCCCCAAAACCCCCCTGGATAGGCTACTGGCTTATACGTATTTCGTCTTAGCAGGATTCATGAACGTAAAATCAAATATTATCCGTCAAAATGAATTAATATTTGCATACCACGACATATCGATTCATCTAAGCCAGAACCTTTCGTGAACTGGTTTTTTATACTAAATATTATTACTCAATAATATTTTTATTAAAAAATGATTAAATTATTAGGTTTTCAGACTCTGATGAAAGTTTTATTTCCTAGAACTTAGCCCCCATTGAAATCTATC